TCACCTTTGATACTAACTCACCAGATAAACTTGGCAAACAACCCTTTTTAATCTCTGTAGACTTTTCTGCCATCTTAGTTCCAGGAAGCTATAAAATTTTGTTATGTTTAATGTTCTTAAGAGAATAGCATAAACTTGGTAGTAGGCTAGAGGAACTTAAGACATGAGAAGTCACAGCCAATTAAAAGTCATCCATAAGTGCAAATATCATAGTTGAAACTTAAATTAGATGAATTGGAAAATATGATTTCATTTGTAATTGTAGGTGGATTCATGGCACCTTTCAGGAATAGATTGCATAATTTTTAAAATTTTTTACACAGTGAAATAATAATATATATGTTAGAGTAACAACAGACTTGGCTGTATGTCTAATATAAACAAAGTAGACTATGTTTGAATAAAATTGTTAACAAAGTCACACATGGAAAACCTTTCTCTGGATATTTTTCTTTATCTGGGAATGCTGAAAATTAGTTATGCCACTGAACACAGAAAATCAACACTAAGTCCCAAATCTCTGCTTATATTGGCTTTGAATACTTCAAACTGCCTAAGGTACAGTCAGCCAGTCCTGAAATGCATACTTAAATACGATTCATTGGCTTCCTGTCTGTCTGGAGATGTCAACAGACTGTAAATCATAAAATTCCCTTTGGGTTGGGGGCTTGCACCTGCAAGCCAACTTAGTCATCAAATAGATCTTTTTACTGTTCTCCAAAAGGCTGCTTCATTCTGATTTCCATGAACTCCATATGCCGCCACATTTTTATTTTGTCTATGAGGTTTTCATACATTTATACTATTTTCCACTCCTTTCCAACTACAAAATTTCAGAGTTTTAGAATTGGGTAGCTGTTGTTCTCAAACTGATTAAGGGTCACACTAAAGAGACAAAGAAGGTTGAATCCACTAAAATAAAATCCTCATACCTTTATACCCCAGTGATATGAAAGTAGGGTGAATACTCAAAGGGCAACATATTTTTTTCTCATTTTTTTTTTAAGTGCTAGGGAACAGGTCTTATGTTAATGACTTTATGATGAGGTTTTAGGATTGGATTTCTCATTTTTCTGGCATTTGACACAATTTTTGAGCTCTAGATAAAATAACTAAGGCCTGAACTAGAAAATTTATCAAACTATTTAGTAGTCTAGAGTTTTCAAACAGAAGACATCTGGATCCTATTTTACTAGGGTTAGAGGAACAAATTTTACAGTCTAATGTGAGAAACTGCCCTTTTTAAGACATATAACAGACAGTTTATAGATTCTTGCAAGATAATTTTTTCCTCATTTGTCTTCTGTTTTAAAGCAATTTAATGATAGATTTAGATTTGAAAGGAAATTTCAACTATGTGAAAGCATATGATGGTCTCAGCAGTTAGTTCAAGTGCTTTAAATAGGATGGATCAGTTAATCACCTTTGTATAAGAATACTTTTTTCTTTTAAGTAACATTTTCTTTCATAAGGTCATGAATTAAAATCAGAAATTAAAGAAAATGTTCAGAAAGTATATTTCTTTTAAATGGTCATAAATTTTGTCCCAAATCAAGAAAGTACTCAAAATTAAAAAATCATTAAAAGCTCCACTATAATACTGATTATTGATTATGACCCCAAATGAAAATATCAAAAGATTTTTTACTTCGTTTTTAAAGATCATCTTAATTCTACAGTCAAAAATGTTGAATTTATACTAACTTTGTTTTCAGCAATGCATATCAAAGCACTGTCATTAAAAATATCTTTGAGGTTTTATTAACTTACTTTTGCACAGTTTTACTTTTCACAAGTCAAAAATATATATTCAGAAACTGATATTTTTATGAAATACTAGCAGGAGGATTTCACTCTACAGTGATGATAGCTTTATTTCATTGAAAATAAAAGGAAGTTTTACCCATGAGAACAAAAAAAAGTGGCCTCATTCTGCCATCTCAGAACTTAGAGAAGTCCACAGCTTGCAAAGGAGCTTTACTAAGTGTCCCCAGATAGGAAAACATGGCAGAGAATCAGAAACTCACTGGGAATCATTTCCAAGGTGATGTTTATAGTTTTAAAATTATGTTTATGTAATCTGGAAAAGCATTTAGAATCAAATATAATACTGCATTGTCTATCAATGACGAAAACTGCAAAACTTACAAGATTATATTGGAGAATTCATTAAGGTCAAAATTCATCTGCTTTGTGTGCAAATTACTGTTGTGATTATAAGAGCTCTCCCAAAAATCACTTCTAGTTCTGCCTAAAAGTGTTTTAAGTCATTAATTTGCATAATCCTCTCTGGGTTTGAGAGGAGCACAAATTTAAGCTAAATATATGTTTAATGTATGTAAGGGAAAATTAAGGAGTAAAGTTAGATTAGAGGAAATTTCTTTTTTCTTTCCCCCTTCAACAAATTATGCTTCAACACGAGGGTAAAACGGTAAGATCTGGATTTATTGGGTTGATGTTTGTAAAACACGTTTGAATTTCCATCAAGCTAAAAAACTTTAAATGTATGTAGAAAGATTTAGACATTCTTATTTAAACGCTCAATGTATCCTACTGGTATTCAACTATTTAATATCATTTCACACACTAAAACAATGGAAGTATCATGAATAATTTATTTTTTGGATTTTTTTTTTTGTTTTTTTGCTGAAAGTACACAGTAGTTCACAGCATCCAAGAGAGTAAAGAAGATAAAAAGCCAAATTTACAAATCATATATTTTAATGTAAGGGTTATCTTAATTCTTATGGAACTTCTTTTGTAAAATCCATAATTTATTTTTGGTAACGTGAATAATCAATGTTTTTATCAGAGTGCGTCGTAATGAAGCATGGTCAGAAATGGAACAACCCAAAATCACAATTTAAAAATATTTGGGTGGGAGAAACTCTTCTTATGATGTATCACCTTGCAAATAACAAGGCCATTATAATTCACCTTCATTAACCAGGGTTTTAATTTGTTTTACATCCTGTAACAAGCGGCAATTTATGCCAGACTCCAAGCTGTTGGAAACATGATTCTTAAAGGCATTTTATAATTGGGCAGCTTGTCTTCTTCTTTGATAACTTGGCTATAATTAAAATGTTTATTCAGCAGTCTTCCTAATCAGAGGACTCATGTAATATAATGTATAATAGCAATATCTAAAATGAAATCTAGAAAACAGGCAAATACTGTAAATTAAATGACAAGAAAAATTTAAAATCCCACCTAATTCTAGAGATAATATAACACCCTCTGTTTACTTCTGCATCACAACATTCAGAAGCAATATGTTTTCTGATGCAATATTTAGAATATTTAAGTAACAAAAATATATCTGGCATTTTAGAGTATTCCAACATGATAATCAACTAAAAAACGATTTTTGTCTATTCTCTAAGTAGGAACTCTAGACAATTCATATTTCTTTTACTTGACCATGGCCTTGGCAGCAGTTCACTTACTGAACTTTTACTTTGTGTGATTTCCTACCCGTTGTATTTTTAACTTCCCCTTTCTTAAGGGATAGATGCTGAGTCCCTGGCATTCACTTGACTCAAGGCCATTTGTCCTCCAGGCCAGAAGCCCCAAGGTTGGTCGGGGAGTAGGTAAATCAAGGTCCTAGAAGCAAGAGGTACATCTTCATCCTGCTCCTCCACAGAACCCAAGGATATGTGTGGCAGAAATAAAAGAGAATAAACTCCTAAGAAACAGCCAGATGCCACAAGTTTGAACTATACCTGAGTAGTAGAAATCTGAAAGCACGGAAGACTGGGGAGTTTTCCCCCAGAGGCCTTCCCACAATTAACTGGGAAGAGTGTGGGGAAATAGAAAAATGTCTCAAATTGGGTTTTTTACTCCATGTTGAGGTAAGACTCAAAAACAGTAAATTTGAATTGAAAAACATTAAAGCAATCTTTTGCACACTGAATTATTGTGACAAAATGAAATGTATACCTCATATACAATTCATTAAGATTATATTGATATGATGACTTAAACGAGTTGAGGTTACATATTCTGATTACCAGATCAAAAAAAGGTTTATTAATTGGCAGCAAGTTTTCTATCTATGTTGTAAATTGCCGATGTGTTCTCCTATTTTTTCTTGATTTTATCAATAAATTCTTTGAGAATGTTCATTCAGTGTTAGTTCTCTCTTCATCTTACTTGATCTCAACCCTAGAAGTATACCCAAATGTAAATGAGAAACCATTTTCTAATGAATCCTGAATTTTAAATTTGCATCAAGACCTCTTCAAACATTTGCATCTTCATTTCTAGTTCTTTGGGATTCATAGACTGGCCAGAAGCCCTGTCTGGTGGTATGCAAGATAATAAATGGGAAAACATAAAACCAAAGCAAGTTGGTTTAGCTGACAGTTCCTTCCTCTGCTTATATAGCTATTATTTCTGCAATTAATTCTTGTTTTTCCTTCCTACAGAAAAAATAATAGGTTTAAAGATGCTTCTACATAAGAATAACATTCTATGTCTTTTTCTAATAAAAATATAGAGAATAATTTAAAAACTATCATCCCAGTCAGAAGTGGAAACTAAAAGAGTGAAGTGTTGAATGAGGGAAATGAAGAAAATGAATGAAAAAGGAGGTAAAAATTATTAAAAATAAACAAGAAGTGAGGAGGTAAAGAAGGAGGAAGATAGACAGAATACGGGAATAGACTTTCCACTGAGGAGAACTGTCATATAAAACTGCTTACACAATGTCCTCCCTAACCCCAGGGAAGTTCTGAAGGGAAAATGTATTGTATTAAAAAGCACTAGCAAATGCTTAGACATAGTGGCTTTGACAACAAGATCTTGATGTTAAGAATATTGGTGGAACGTTTTTAGTTTGGTCAACTGCTGACCTCAAGATGTTCAAATTATCATTCATGAATGAGTAGCTTCTCACATCCAGGTTAAACATTAGCAATGAAAAGCCAGCAAGCTTCTGTGTTGCTTGGATGCTGAGATGGTCTATGTCTTGACATAGTGGCAGTGGTTTGACCTACCTGGCTGCAATCCGGCCAAGCTCTAGCAAACAGAGACACACTTCTCTGGGTTGCTTGTGGAGGACTGAAAGACAAGACAGAGGTGTACACTTTTACAATAGAAGGAATAAGCAGCTCAACAGTGTAGGCTTGCTAGTGACCCTCATCCCTCATGGTCCCAGGAAAGAGCTACACTTCATTCTGACAGTCATAAAATCCATCTCATTCTTCAATCCACCTAGCTCTATTAAAGGCTTAAATTACTTCTTGAAACTCTGCTTATGCTTCCTCTTAAAAGCTGTTAGTCTCAGCAACTCTCACCCTGAATAAATCTCACCCTAAAAATATTTTCTTCAATTAATTAATATTGGTAAGTCAATATTGAATGCCTATGTAGCTATATTTATGATACCTGTCAATAATTTATATTTACAAACACACAACTATGGAGCAAGGACTAGTCATTTTAATATCATGGGTCTACCTCCAACAGTGATTTTAGCAAGAAAAAAGTGAAATAAGGATAAACATCTTATATTACACTCCTTTGTTATCCTCCAAAGAATGTCAAAGGGAGACCCTGTTACTTCATATGCTCTTCTAATCAAATCTGATTAAATAATACTTTAGAAAGAAACAACTTCGATGGACTGAGTTTTGTATGTATGTACCAGTGCACCATCAGCCAGTTTTGCCCATCAGAGAAGCAAATTAGAAGGCTATACTTTGATTTTTTTTTTGAAACGGAGTTTCACTCTTGTTACCCAGGCTGGAGTGCCATGGCACGATCTCAGCTCACCACAACCTCTGCGTCCTGGGTGCAGGCAATTCTTCTGCCTCAGTCTCCTGAGTAGCTGGGATTACAGGCACGTGCCACCATGCCCAGCTAATTTTTTGTATTTTTAGTAGAGACGGGGTTTCACCATGTTGACCAGGATGGTCTCAATCTCTTGACCTTGTGATCCACCCGCCTTGGCCTCCCAAAGTGCTGGGATTACAGGCGTGAACCACCACACCCAGCCCTTGAATTGATATTTCTATTATAATATAATCTGATAGACATTCAGTAATGTTGACAAATCACACTTGCTTTTGTCGCGCCTACAGGAAGAGCATTTAGAAGAGCACACTATTCTCTTTTTTAAGCCAAATTAGGGGATTTTTACAATGTTCTTATATTCAGCACTGAATAAAGATGAGAGACTGGAATAAATTTGCACTGAGCACAGGTTTTCCACTGATACACAGTATCCTAAAAAAGGAAAACATTTACTGTTAATTGACTTTAAGAAAAAGAGCAATATGCTTTTCTTCTTAAACACAGAATTCTGTAATGATTTAACTTTCCAGTATTAATCTATTCACTCAACTGAAATATTCTAATTCATTCTCTTCATAGCTTATGATAGTGGCAATATTTGATCCACTACCACCACAGTGGAATTTGTGGGCATGTGTGGTAAATAGAATAAACACTTTTACCTGATTGTAAAAGTATGTGATTTCATTTGGTTTTAAGGAGACATATAAATGTATTATTATTTGGTTAAAAAAATAGCACTTTAAAATAAATTTGAATCCTACCATAATTGTAATTCCACCATTAAATTTTAAATCCTGTAACCGATTATGGAAAATCTGAATTGCAGAATATTTCTATTACTAACACAAATTTTAGATTCAGATGACCATTGGTGAATTACCACAAAGTCCTACTTAGGGAAGTCTTGAATTACTTTTAATTAAAATGGCTTTAAGTAAAAATGATGATATTTACTACCTCCGGTTTCAGAGGTACCACAAGTTGACTGTGACTAGAATGATATTAACTTCATAAAGTTTAGTATATTAAATCAGTTCTAGCACAAGGTAACATAAGAGCTGTAACATCACACAGGCCTCAGTTTCATACAGAGAACAGTAACAAATATCACAAAACAGAAATAAACAAATGAAAATGGATCTTCCTGTCTAGATCATCAATTTTTTTCTGATTCAGACTTTTTTTTAATATGTCCATGGTATAAAATCAAAATTGGGAGTTTTGGGTGGGAGAAAGCAGTATGTAAAAACTGAGGAGAGGAGGACCTTTAAAGCCCTGCTCATGTCCTCATCCTTAGTAAAAGCTGTGTGAAGCAGTAGCTATACCATCAAGAGCTTTGGATACAATGCCATGCATATCTCGATGACAAGAGTGTCAAAATATAAAAACTATTAGTTAACTTACTAAATTGTGTCAATGTGCAGCCATAACCAACTATAAAAGGTAATACCTGATACAATTATAATGGTTATTTAACCAACTTATTGTACATATTCTGAGGACTATATAAGCATTAATATGTAAATAGGTATACTTTATGGAAAATCAAATTCATTCGGAAGAAAAATAATAATGCGAGTGCTATACGAAAGACAATTTGACATGCAGGATGCCTCAATATTATTTCTTTGCTTCTTCATTTGTCAATTTAAAACAGTTTTGCATGCCAAAACTCAATATCGAATCTACGATGGACTCATTAGAAAATCAGTTTGGCAAACTGAGAAGAAACTGCATGATTCTTTATTCCGTTTCCTTAACAGAATCAGTCTACTAAAATTTAAGACAGATACACCTCTTCCCCAGCTTCACTTCTTAGGAAAATGCTAACAGAAAAATAGTGTTTTACTTTCACTTTTTTTGATAGATATTGCCATTTTATAAAGCAATAAACCTGCTTTAAAGCATACCTGTAATATTACCTCACATGTTAATAGCTTTTCAAATAACAACCATACCAAGCCTAGCCCCTAATGGACAAAAAAAAAAAAAAAAAGAAGAATGATTGGTGACTGGTAAGCAATGACTAAGATAAATCTGTAGAGCTGCACAACAGTGCAATACTTAGAACATGGAAATGCCTTAGTAACTACTATATAATACAAGGAAGATGACGGTTATGTGGTGGTGATAGGGGTTGTGATGGGTTGTGATGATTAACAAAGCGAATAAAGGCTAAAGTTTTACCATCTTTAGGACAGACAAGAATTTAAATCATGTAAATATTTAATTGCAAAAGCAAGCACTCTTATTGCTGTAAAATTCAAATTCAAATTTCTGTATGTAATATCCATATTGTACTAAAGAGGTAACTTTGGTTGTCGCACTTAAGCAAGTTATAAACTTAAGTTAATAGAGGAAAGGAGTATAATGATTATGTAATTCAAGCCACAAAGATCTGGGTGTGGGTGTGAGCACTAATACTTACCGGTCATGTTATTTTGGGAGGTTACTCTACAAAATCTCATTTTCTGCAGGAAATAAATAGTGCCACTTCATAATATTTTCATGATGATTAAACAAAATAATATTTACTGTTATGCTTGGCACAGTATGTGGCACATAGGAAATACCTGCCAAATGGTAGTTTCATTATTTTTTTCTTTTCATTATTTATTTTATTTGGTTTAGTCAATTAACCTTAATTCACTTTTTTTCCCTGTAAGCACTTTTTGTGCTTCATAATGTGTCAGTTACTAGACAGTCAAAGAAACTCTGGAATGAAGATAAGATTACTGTCAGCAGATATAGAGTGGTTCTATTAAAATGATTAAATTTAAAATTTTTACCTTTTACATTATATTGGATATAGTTAATTCTAAATGTAATCAAATTTCAGGTTAAATGAGTCCATATGGTCAGCATATATAGCATATATAGTAGCATATAAAGCAGATACCCTTCACCAATTACAAGTTTTCGCTAAGTGTAAAGTTCAAGTAACAACTGCATTAGGACCTATGTCATTTTTTGAAACAGCAAATATCTTGGCTTTAACTTTCCTTTGTGATTAAAATAGCTTGATAGAGTTCATTTTTAATAATTAACTATGTTGATTATATATGGTATATTTTAGAAGATCAAATAACTGAATATATACCTTTGTCAAGGTGATTTGACAGGCAGCTTTCATTGTACTGTGTTTGTAGCAAAGCCCTTGCATCCAGTCGTATGTATTATTCATTTTAAGCATATTTAGTCATTTATCTTTTTCAAAATAACATCTACTTACATTAAAATTATACAAGGAGACATTTTCCCCACTTTATCACTGTAACACTAACAAGGTCTTTTGCTTTGAGTTAGGGGTATAAGAACGGATTGCTGTAGCTTTCCTCTGAACAAATCCTCTTCAAAACAAATGAAGAGCTTTCAAATCAATGGTGATTATTACACACATGGTTTTATCATTGATGGCGTCTTTTTAAATAATCAAAACCATTTCAAGAAAAGCATAATGTAAAACATCTCCAGGAAAAGTAACACAGGTTTCCATTCAAAAATATGTGGCAAGAGACTCAATCCCATAACCCAGATTCTATAAAAAAATCTCATGGGCATCAAATGTCAAATGGAATACTGCTAGCTCCACGAATGGAAAATGAGGCCTTCCATGAAAGTAAGAGGGTAGAATTTCAATGTCACAGAATCTGCAAGGATAAAATGCATTAGACCATGAATGTATAATTTAGCTAAATATATTAAATTTTAACAGATGGGCAAAAGAATGAAAGCATGAAAAATTATGTTGCCCATTTGGTTTCTATATAACTGGAGGTTATAACATGAATCATCATGTTGAAGAAAATTGCTTTTTAGACTTTTATTTAGTAAGGAAACTTAAAAAATATTTTTGAATAAATGTTGTTCAATTATAAAAATATCATAGATTAACGGCTGCCTACTTTCCCAGAGTAGAGAACTGGTTCTAGTAAGCCAAGAAGAGTGATAGAGTAGAAGAAACTGTAAGCTAGAACTTAGAAGAATTGGGTTCTGCTTAACGCTGACTAATTTCTTCAACTCTAAAACAAGTGTTGTGTCTTCACTTGCTCTTCTTTATAAGGTAACTATGGTTAGGAACACTTAGTACCTGGTAAACACTCAGTAAATGTTACTCTCTTGCACTAAAATGTGGTCCACAGACCAGCAGCATTGGCATGGCATGGGAGCTTGTTAAGTATGCAAATTTGGAGCCCTATCTAGCTCTAACAATCAGAAATCACATTTAAACAAATTTTTCAGGTGATGAGTATATACACTAA